ACTCGAAATGGCTGCCCTAAACCCTTAACCCTAAAAGTCGTGAACATAACCTATACGACATTCTTCGGAGGCGGGGCACGCGACAGGACCAAAATGGCCTGGTGGTGCAAGCCAAAACAGAAGCAAGAGTCGTGCTGGTGCTTCGGCAAAGCTTGGCGGCAGTTCTTTTCCACCTCGGTGAAAAGAGGCTCAGAGCTGGTGGTGGTTTAACAATTAAAACAAGCAAGGGTGGGAGTTGGTCGCATACCCCCTCCATGTTGGCGAAAACTTTGTGACATACCTGCAGTTCTGGATGGCCTCCAAGTTTACCATGGTTGGCTGGGCTACCAGCCGAGCCACCCGGGTAGGCTCAGAGCTAGTGGTGGTTTAACAATTAAACCACCAGTACTTGGCCCAGCTATCTGCCGCGGAAACAAATGGAGTAGAAATGTTTCTACTTGGATGAATTTGGGCGCTCCTGTAGTGATCCATATGTTTCCTAAAATCGTGGCGCATTAACGGGCAGCACTCTAGGAAGTACTGGTGGTTTAAAACAAGCAAAGGTGGGAGTTGGTCACATACCCCCTCCATGTAGGCGAAAACTTTGTGACATACCCGCAGCTCTGGATGGTTTCCAAGTTTACCATTGGTCGCGTACCCGCTCCATGTCGGTGAAAATACCGGACGTCGTGGATGGCCTCTAAGGTTACCATGGTTGGCATACATGCGAGAACCGAATAGATCGCCTGGTCTAGACTGAAAGTTGCCCTAGTTACAGGTATAATGACCGGGGCGTTCTATTTAGGTTGTGAAGATGGTAGTTAAAAAACATGTATTATTGTCCTTCCCTCGCTGTGCAGGGTAGAAATTGCTGACATGCCCGCTCACACCTCCTACCTGTTGAAGTGCTATCAAATGATGTTTAAACTTCAAAATTGATAAGAGGGAAAAGAAAGTTAAGAAACCATTTTATAAATTTATTTCTTTTTGCGAGTGAATCTGCAACAGGTCATCCTGTCTTTTTTTTTTTTATTATTATTTTTTTAAATCTGCTCTGCTGCTGTTTCTCATTGACAGAGGCGTTGACGAAACAACCTTGGACAGAGTCTTTCACAGCTGCTGTGCTTATTGCGGACATCACAGGCTTCACTCCTCTGACAGAGAGAGCATTGACATCGAAACGAGGGACAGAGCTGGTGGAAGAGTTGACCGGATGCATCAATGCATACTTCAGCCAGGCATGCTACATCATCTTTCCTCTATAACTTGCTCTTCTTCCCGCTTTTTGCTGCTTCTCTCACCCCCCACCTCTCCACACCCGAGCCACAGAAGGCTGTGGCTCTGTTATGGCGAGCAGCACTCCTTCCACCCTCCCTGTCTGTCTGTCTGTCTCACTCTCTCTCTCCTGCCCTGTGTGTTTGGATCCATACAGTTTCCAATTAACTAACAATAACTGGCATTTTTCACCCTCCCTCCCTCCCTCCCTCTCTCTCCCTCCCTCCTTCTCTCTCTCTCTCCATGTGTGTTTTGGCCTATAGAGTTTCCAATCAACTACCAATAACTGGTGTTTTTCACCTCTCCCTCTCTTCCTCTCTTTTTTTTTTTCTTTTTTTTTTTCTTTTTCTCTCTCTCTCTCTCTCTCTCTCTCTCTCTCT